TACTCTACCCATGCGTTCTTCCTATTCTAGTTCTGCGTTATTGCAGTGACCACAGACATCACAAGTCCCTCTGTTGTCTTTAAACCATCTCTCTGATAGTTCTGCCATCCAGCCATCATCATCGCAAAATTATATATGAAGATGTAAATTAGCACTCCATGCGGCCGGCGACGCTCAATTCATGCATTCCAATTTCTACGAGTGTTTTGTTTGAAACAGATTGCTAGCGAATTAAATATTTGTAAAAGAAAGATAAATTATATATTTTAATAAATAAATAAATTTAACAGATAACTTAAAAACAGATTGTCTAAAAGTAGGAAAAAGTTTTTGTAGTAAATATATTTTTTGAATCGTGGAGCAAACAATACATTTCAATATTTCGATAAATAATGTGAAAAGAACTAAGACCAAAGAAATTGTGCATGCGTCCCGCACATCCTGGCGATAAGGACAACACTTAGGGTGTGTTTGGATAATGGGAAATGAAGGGTGGGATTAGTATTGGGAAATAAATAAAGGATTGGGATTAAATGTAAGAGGAAGAATGAATGGTTAGAATTTAAAGATGTTTTTTGGTGTGTGAGAATTCATTTCCGTATCCTATTAGCCAAACACTGCCTTAGCGTCAAACATTTGATATAATTAAATAATATTATCCGTTTTGTAACTATTTGTTTTTACCCTTTTGCCCAATGCTATTGCATTTACGTGCCATATCGGATGAAAATTATATCAACGCGCCACGTAGAAATGAAGTAGAATGAAACCACTCCCAAAATAACTGAGGAACTCGTACACTGCTTTAATAAACCAGGAGACGTTCTTTGTGGTTGAAGGACGCAAATCAAACTTGTTACATACTTGAGGGGTGCAAAATGGACGTTTTCAATGTGAGTAATCTGTTGTACTCTCGGCTCGGCCGTTCAGGCCCAGCAAAAGTGACGGCCTGCAAATGAGTTACGGGCATCACAGCAAAGTAGACTCATCAACTCCCCCACCAGCCACCTGCCGTTGCAGATTCTACGCGACTCATCGTCTTCCTCTTCCCTCGAGCAGCCAGCCACTGGAATTATTTAGCCAAACCCTCAGCAGCAGAAGCATTCATTCCTCCCGGCTCCCCCCACCCAACGCACACGCTTCACCTCCTCCTCCTCCTCCTCCACCACCACCACCATGGCGGAGACGAAGATCGAAGGGCCAACCATCGCCGTGAAGCTGTTCGTCGACAAGGAGAGGAGCCGGGTGCTGTTCGCGGAGTCCGACAAGGACTTCGTCGACGTCCTCTTCGGCTTCCTCACGCTGCCTCTCGGCACCGTCGTCCGCCTCCTCGGCAGGCAGTCGCAGGTCGGATGCCTCGACGAGCTGTACAAGAGCGTGGAGGATCTCAGCGCCGACTACTTCCACACCAAGGCCTGCAAGGCGATGCTTATGAAGCCTCACAACACCGCAGCGGAGCAGTGCTGCCTGCTCAAGGTCAAGGTAGATGACACCGATCAGTCGGCGGTTTATGTTTGCAGAGATGCAAACTGCAGCGCCAATGGCGATTGCGGGGTAACCTCGGTCGCTGGTTCCGTTTGCAAATGTGGCAAGGTCATGGAGTACATTGGGGAGTGGCCACAGGATGGTGGTAGCACTGCTGCTGCTGGTTCCGACGGTGGAGTTTTTGTCAAGGGATGCTATAAGTTCATCGTCACTGATGATCTCCATGTCGCACCTGCATCGACATCTCTAATGATGTCCATTTTTGACAAGTATGGAGTGCGTGATCCGGCTAATCTTGAACAAAAGATTCTCCAGCTCAATGCAGAAAAGGTTTCTCTATGTTGCTTAGTATATCTTGGATTTTATATAACATTTAACTTGGATTTAGTTGACCTATGATCCATTTCTCGCAGATAACTTGCTTGCTCAAAAGATCACTGACATCCAAGCAAACTTTAACTGGGTACTACTTCGATGTCCCTAATCCAAACGATGAAGCAAATCTCTATGTGCTACCAGAGAGCTTGTATTCTGAACAAGATGCTGAAGTGGATCACAAGCTAAACAATATGAAGATAAAAGTTCTTCAGAGGAAAAACAACACCTCCCTGCTGTATGCTGAAGTTGGTGAAGATTTTGTCGATCTTCTCTTTGGCTTGCTAAGCATTCCACTTGGCTCCATATTAAAGACTTATGGTAAGTGGTCATCAAATGGATGTGTTGATAATATTTACATGAGCATAGATGGGAGCGCCAAAGGTTGTATGAATCCAGAACGCCAGATGTTGCTAGTATCCCCAAATGTGGCTTCTTTCTTTGGCTGCAGCGCTACTAATATGTTAATACAACTTGGAGAAGCAGCTCCAAAGCAGAGAAATATCAGTGGCTGCTTCAAGTGCTTCAAGATTGCTGGGTTTTGGCCATTGTAGCGACCAAATTTGGAACACTGGTAAAAAGGCTTACGTATATAAAAATTGCCTCGGCACTACAAAGACTTGTAAGCTTTGTGAGATTAATCCAAAAGTACCAAGCGGAGGTAGTCACAAGGGCGAAGGGTATGTCAAGCCAGGGGTTCAAAAATTCATGGTCACTGATGATCTGCATATTCTTCCTCTGTCCTTGACAAGCACCCTACAAGTAGTTAGTGAATCCAAGGTACAGGCTAAGGATCTCGTGGAGAAAGAATTCACTCTAACAAAAATCCAGGTTATCATCTAGAACTATTCCAACTACACTGCTTGCCAGAAACAGTAGTTGATTAAATCTGACTATGGGTAGTATGCTGATTAAATCTGTGCAGGTTATGGAGCTTCTAAGGGCTGTTCTGGTGACTCGCAACACACTCAGCTCCGTGCTTCTGCCTCCCAAGAAGAAGAAGAGACTGCATCTCCAGTCTAGTCTGTATTAGGTTACTGCCTCGTCGTTCCAGTATTTCTGTATCCTCAAGTACTAATCCGAGTATCCAAGTTGCCGTAGACGAACATGCTGGTGCTTTTGTTTAACTAAATGAAAACATTTACCCAAGATTTGGTAGGGCCGAGCGAACGCGCACCCCGCTGCCAAAAATTGTGACTGCCATCTCCCACGGGAGGAGATAGAAGGCCCAGTAGCCTTCTTGATGGGCCATTGACCACCGTCCGGTAAAGGAAAAAGTGCACCGAAGGTCCCTCAACTTGTCAGCGAGATACAAAAACGTCCTCCCACCGCAAAACTAGATATGCGGGGTCCCTTATCTATACAAAACCGGTCACCCGAGATCCTTCTGCAGTTTTGATCCTGGTTTAGTCTACGTGGCAGCTGAGTCAGCGTGGACCCCATGTGTCAGCCAACCACTCTCTCTCTCCCCTCTTCTCTCTCACTTATCTCCTCTCGGGCAAGCCAGTGGCGGGCGGGGAGGAGGTCGCTGGGGCGGCCGGCGACGCGGCTGATGACAAGACGGCGGGAACCGGGGCGGCGCTGCATTCACGACCGCCTGCCGTTGGTCTCCCTCCGTCACCCGGAATTACGACGTCGGCAAATTCTGACGATGCCCGCTAGCTAGTCTGACCACCATGACCAGACTCCCTCGGGATTCCACGAGGTAGCGAGCAAGGACCTGCTCCTCCTCCTCCTCGTCACGGTGCCGGCGCCGACGGCGCGTGCATCACGCTCCAGTACGTCCCCAACGTCATCATCCACAACATCCACGTCCACGACTGCGTCCCCGCCGGCAACGCGAACATGCGCGCCTCGCCGACGCACTACGGGTGGCGCACCCGTTCCGACAGCGACGGCATCTCGCTCTACTCGGCGCGCGACGTGTGGGTGGACCACTGCGCGCTGTCGCGGTGCGCCGACGGGCTCATCGACGCCATCATGGGGTCGACGGCGATCACCGTGTCGAACAGCTACTTCTCGCACCACAATGAGGTGATGTTGCTGGGGCACAGCGACGAGTACCTGTCGGACTAGGCGATGCAGGTGACTATCGCGTTCAACCACTTCGGGATCCAGCTCGTGCAGCGGATGCCATTGTTTGTCGATGTTTGCCGTGTTCTTGGCTTATTTGCCGATGTAGGTAAATAAGCGACGCCATTGTTTGCCGTGTTCTTGGCTTGTTTTGCTTGTGAGTTGTGACAGCATAAGAGGGGAAAAAAATGTTTTTTTTTGTGTGTGTTGGATTGGATTTCGTCTGTTTGTTTCTCATTTTGTTTCCCGCAGTGCTCCCGCCGCCGCCGCGCCGGCCGCGTCGCCTCGTGCTCCTGCCGCCGCGGCGTCGCCGGCCGTCCCGGTGGCCTCCTACCCATCCGCCCCCGCTTGCCCGAGAGGAGAGAAGTGAGAGAGAGATGGGAGAGAAGAGGGGAGAGAGAGTGGTTGGCTGACACGTGGGGCTCATGTGGGGCCCACGCTGACCCAGCTGCACGTAGACCAAAACTGGGATTAAAATCGTCGAAGGATCTCGGGTGACCGGTTTTGTATAGTTAAGGAATCCCGCATATCTGGTTTTGCGGTTCGAGGACGTTTTTTATCTCGCTGATAAGTTGAGGGACCTTTGGTTCACTTTTTCCTCCGGTAAATATAAGTTTTTTATGCTACCTGTGCATGCCGCACAGTTTTTTTGTTTTCTTACGGTGAACCTGTGCCTCAATTAATTTCCCCTACTTCGTGTCCTCACTCACTCAACTTTCCATGTGGTATTACTCTATTCTTTTTGGTTACCAAAAGGCAAATGCATTTCTCAGTGTTCTATTCCAACTCCTTTTGGGCCTATTAAGTATTTACGAGTCGAAACGAGACCCACTACAGAATCCGGAGTATCGATCCAATGGGCCTATACAGATTTCAGCCCATAAAAGCCTAGTCGCTAGGCCACCTCGGGTTCGGCGGCCAGTTGGGCCCACAGCTAAAAGGCCCAAAGGAGGTGGGACCCACACGACCGGCGTGCCCCACACGTCGCCACGTCACCGCCCCCACGTCTACGCGCTCTTGTCTTGGACTTGGACGCCATCGCCGCCGCTTCTCCTATAAAACCCCCGCCCCCGTGGTCGCTGCGGCCGGATCCATTTCCCAGAATTTTTTTTTCTTCTAATTTTCTTCTTCCCGTTTCCCGACTCAAGTCAGCGGTTAGGGTTCCGAGATCTCCGCCTCGCACGGCAGCCATGGCGGTGAGCATCCTGCTCTCTGTTTTTTTTTCTCTCTCTTTCTCTTGATTGTATTGTTCGTGTCTTCATGAATCTCGTTTGGGGCCGGATGGTGGTGGCTTTGGCATTTCCGATCCGAGCATTTTGTTGTGCTTTGGTATCGGAGCTTGAACAGATTTGGGGTTTATGCTACGGGTTCTTGATTTGGGTATAAGCTTAGTGTCGGCCGCATCTGGTTGACTACACGGGAAAGTAGCGATTCGTGGCTGGCTCCGCCTAATGGTGTTTGGTAGAAATGAAATGGACTGGCATTGGTTTGGCAGATTGCCAGGAAGCAGCCATTACCCCATTAGTTATCACTTGCCAAGTGCTACCCGGCCAAATCTCGATTGTACTACTTTAGCCAGCATTTTAGTCCTGTATGAGCTATATGGAATTACTGCCGCAGCAAATCTCACTGTAGATTGTTCTCTGGGTGCTGGAAATGTTTAAAAGATGCGGTCTCCTAGTTGATTCCTACAGATGGCACTGCTGATAAGCCATCAGTATGATTTATCTAGCTTGCTTGTTTAGTTGATATATAGCCTTATTCTGTCTTTATGCCTACTTGCTTATGCCCTAGGAGGCTAGGACTGATAAAGAAGGCCATTTAAACTTTGGTTCGTTACTTGTCCTCCTTGCAGCTTAATTAGTCACTAGTGACTCAAGTATGTAAGGAGACAAACATTATAGTGGCTTCCTTGCTGGTGGGCAAAACAATACCAACTATGCTGGATTGCTGGCTTATAATGTATGGTGATATTGAAGTATTGAACTGTATGCTATACTGACTAGAAAGCAAGTTGCAACTATAATAAGATTTAATAGTACACACATACTATGCACATAAGCATATAGGCATTGAAAAGCTTCATACAGATGGTCAATATTGTCCCCAAAAGGTTGTCTGGCGTTACCCTATTTAAAACCGTTTGAAAAGAACTGGGAGCAGAGGCCTTGCTTACGTCACAGGATGGAAGCACTGATTCCTTTGTGTAGATTGGGACTGCATGCCGTTTATTAGTTAGGTCTATGCAGCAATTGTTCCCATTGGATGTGAGAATGGTTAGTTGCTTACAGCTCCTGGCAAACTACAATGATTTTATAAGTACAATTGGACCATTTGGTATGATTCAAACTGTCTGTAAGAAATTGGGCATTTGGACATGCAAAGTTTGAGGGATGAAACAAAGTTCACATTTGCATTAACCTTTTTAAGATCTTATAAACATTTACGGTGTTATTTGTATATATTAGCACACCACCATCAGATCACTGATTAGAATTTTTTTCCATGTATTGTTTTAAGGCAAGCACTTTTAGCACAGTCAAGGTGAGCAATGTGTCACTGAAAGCATCACTGCGAGATGTAAAGGAATTCTTTTCCTTTTCTGGTGACATTGTGCATGTTGAAATGCAAAGGTCAGTGCCATTTTCATGTTGCTTGTTTTCCACATTTGTACCATGAATTGCAATAACCTTTTAGTGCTTTGCAGCAGTGATGAGCTGTCTCAAGTTGCCTACATTACTTTTAAAGACAATCAAGGATCTGAGACGGCTATGCTTCTTACGGTATTCTTTCTCACATCAATGGAAATATAAGTTTTCCATTGGTGCCCTTGTATTGTTCAGAGATTGTGCACAGATTGATGGTTGAAGACATACTTGATGAATGTGGTCGACCAGCTTCATTAACCTAAACCTTTTTGGGGTATGAAACAAAATACACTGCAGATTATAGGGAAAAAACTCGAACGACAGGGAAAAGACCGCCCCCACGGCTTTTCCTAAGAAGAAACTCAGCCACAGTCAGCTGAGAAAAAGGCCACGAACCCTGGCCCCTTGATACGTTGATACTCCCCTCGGGCCTTAACCCGTGCTTTGAGGCCCTTGCTCCATACACAAACACAAGGGCCCACCCACCATAGGCCATTTCTTAACACGTGTTTTAACCAAGGGGCCAGCGAGTGACCTTTTTAAACCAACTCTGAAAATTCATTCCTGAGGGGAGTCGAACCCTGGCGCTGGTAGGTGCTACTGCAGTGCTGCAACCACTAGGTTATAGACTCGTCAGCACACACTGCAGATTATTGCCATGGCATTCTCATATCCTAACAAAAAATGGTCTGAAAAATATTGTTTGATTGATTTAAGAGAAATACTTTGTTAAGACTTGCAAAAAAGGATACCTAAGTTACATTAAGGAAACCTTAATGATATACCAAATTTCCAGACTTGCTTGTTTGAATTCTGCCATTTACACAATCCAGAATCCAACTAATATTTTAATATCTACTAGGAAAATCCTGAGCTTTTGATATGAAGGATAATTTATTTGCAAAAATATAATTGGTCACATTACTATGTCCTTATATGCTGCCTAATCATATATCCCTGCTGGAACAGCTTATGTATTCGAAAATTTGTAACATATATTTTGTTGTTGTCCCAGGGTGCCACAATAGTTGATATGGCTGTCATTGTCACGCCAGCTACCGATTATGAGCTACCAGCTTCTGTTTTAGCTGCTCTAGAGGTACAATTAGAACTGCAGAATATTTACAGTCTGATATGATATTCTTCTGGTGGTAATATAACTCCATAGCATGCTTTGCAGCCCAAGGATAGTAAGCCTTCTGCCCTTCAAAAGGCAGAGGACATTGTTGGGACCATGCTGGCCAAGGGATTCATTTTAGGTAGGGATGCACTGGACAGAGCAAAAGCCTTGGATGAGAAGCATCAACTCACATCAACTGCAACTGCTAGAGTATCTTCCTTTGACAAGAAAATGGGTTTAAGCGAGAAGATCAGTGTTGGCACTTCGGCTGTAAATGATAAAGTGAAGGAAATGGATCAGAAATACCAAGTCTCTGAGAAGACAAGGTCAGCACTGGCAGCTGCTGAACAGAGTGTCTCTACTGCTGGATCTGCCATCATGAAGAACAGGTATGTCCTTACTGGAGCAGCATGGGTAACTGGTGCTTTCAATAAGGTTGCCAATGCTGCAAATGATGTTGGCACAAAAGCAAAGGAAAAAATAGCATCTGAGCAGGAGCACAAGACTGTAGAGCTTGAGTCTGCAGAACCTAACAGCTCAGAAGGCCATGGAACACAAAAGGATGTGGATGGTGAATTCGCCAAGATACAGGTCTCTGAATCCCCTGAAGATATTCCCATCTCTACGACTGCAACCGTCCCCATTACTGATGAGGATTCCAGTCAGGCGTCTCCACCTGCCGCCTCTCCCAAAAAGCCAGAACCTGCGCAGGGGTTGATACTATGATTCCATTGATACATGAGTGTAAATAGACACGAAATGGTCGCTGAATTCAGGCTGTAGTGTTGTTGTGATCCTTCAAACTAAACCTCTTTGAAGTTTGGATTTGGGACCTGGAATAGGTTGCAGTTTGTAGCATCTATTTTTCTCAATTGAACATCATTTTCTTGCATTAGCGACCTTCTTAATAGGCACCAACCATTGATATACCATTTTGACATGGGATATTGATGTGGATTTGGTGGAATATATGAGAAATTATGTTTGAGTACTTCACTGTAACTCGACATTAGTATTCCCTCTGAGGTTTATTTTGAATTGGTTATGACGTCCAAAATTAAACTTTGGTTTAGTTTCGAAGTATTTGTGTCATTATTAAACATGGTACAATCATTTGTGTCATGGTATAATTATGTTATATATAAATACTTCCAAATATGAATATATAGTACAGTTTTGTGTCATTAATTAAGCATGTATAATGTTGGACTAACAGTAGACATCTATATCCTGATGATCTGATAAAGCATGATATTGGAGTATTTTCTAAAACCTATTAGTCTGAGATTGTGCTGCAGAAATGCTATTTTCCCCCATTCTTAGCATACTAAAGTTTTGAGTAAAATCCATCACCGGTCCCTAAACTTGTACCGTTGTGTTATCGCGGTTCCTAAACTCGCAAATCGACCGTTCAGGTCCTCAAACTCGTTCGACTATGTCATCCCGGTCCCTAAACTTACAGATCACTCGTTTAGGTCCGCCAACTTGTTCAGTTGTGTCACCCTGGTCCCTAAACAGGACGGTCTAAAAACTTTATATCAAAAAATAATTCATAACTTTTTCATGTGAACTCTAATGAAGACAAACTTTATATCAAAATTGTAGCCCTCGACGCGACCTACAACTTTGTAGTTGAAAAGTTTTTGAATTAAAACTGTTTAGGGCTCCAAAATATTGTTGCATGTTTATAAATTTTGAAATTTTAATTTTAAAATTACATTTCGGGACAAAAAATGACTTAAAATAAAAAAAATTAACTACAAAGTTGTAGATCGCGTCGAGGGCTACAAGTTTGATATAAAGTTTATCTTCATTAGAGTTCACATGAAAAAATTATGAATTATTTTTAAATATAAAATCTTTAGACCGTCATATTTGATCCAGATGATATTCAAATCCCAGTTTAGGGACCGTGGTGACATAATTGAACAAATTGGAGGACCTAAACGAGTGATCTGCAAGTTTAGGGACCGGGATGACACAGTCGAACAAGTTTGAGAACCTGAATGGGCGATTTGCGAGTTTAGGGACCGGGATGACACAGCGATACAAGTAACTTAGGGACCGGTGATGGACTTTACTCTAAAGTTTTCATTGTTTTAGTGCATACAATACATCCATTCTCTCTGAAAGTTCTTCTGGCTACAAGATATAGGATTCAACTGCAGTGTGTGGTGTACAGTTTACAGGTGGAGATAGACTGATGGAGTACTAGAGGTCTAGAGCAAGTGCCTGAAAAATAAAGGGAAAGGGAAGTTGGGCCGCAGACCATCTCCCTGCAGTTTCAGACACCGACGTTTTTCAACCAAAAGATTATTTGGATGTCACCATTATTATTCCACTGATCACTGATATGTACATTCATCATTCACATATGGATGTGGGATTGTGGTTATTCCTCAAATGTTTTCATGTTACACTTTTCTCCTTACTTTAAGCCAGCTAAAGAATATCATTGGATAATAAAGGTCAAACGGTTTTATTAGCAATGTAGGAGTACTACTTTGCGAGTTATTTATGGCTGCAAAAAGGTCCATACACATTTGTGTTTATACTTCAGATTTGAGATCAAATATCCAAATACACGTTTTCAGAAAGAAAATTATATATATATATATATATATATATATATATATATATATATATATATATATATATATCACTTCGGTTCTTCTTGCTATCACATAGTAATTCACATTAGAACAACTTGTGCTTCCGATTCCCAACCTTGCCTCCAAAACTGGACATTTCTGCAGAACAGAACAGAACAAAAATGCAGTGCTCAACAACAAACACAAAACGAACTCATACTAAAAATTGCCACACTAAAATTTCCAAAATTTAATATGCCCAAGTGCTACGAATGAATCAAGAATCAAGATGAAATGTGACCATGCACACAATTAAACACAGGCACGAACCGGAAGCAGAAGGGTCATGAGAGAAGAGGAAGAGGATGACGAAGCAGAGGGCGGTGAGCAGCGGTATGAGGTGAACGGACCGCTCCTTCGCCGACGGCCGGGCGGCCGGCGCCTTCTCCGGCTTCGCCTCCAGGTCGTCGCCGTCCTCCTCCTCCTGGTACAGCCTCGGCATCGCCGAGAGGCTCAGCTGCCTCTGCATTTCCCGGCACGGGCGAGGCGTGGCGTGTTCAAAGAGGTTCAGAGAGCAGCAGAGAAACAGCCTCCCTCTTCCTTAGCTTGGCTACACTCCAGGTAAGGTATATGCCCCCGGTGATGTACAAGTGTGTGTACGTTAATACGCATCCAGCTCTGTATATATGCTCACCAAAATAGTGTATCAGGAGAGATCGATTACTGAATTAACAACTACTAGTAGTGTTGTTCTTCTTTTGATTATGTGCTCTGAATTTCACGCATTGGCTCACATGCGCCTCTCGCTTTGCTTTACTGATACCTCGCTTAGTTTGAGTTGCTTAACAAGAGTCTGCCAGTCTGGTGCTTTGAGTACATGAGAGGGATGTTATCTGAATCCCCCCCTTTTGGCCTTTCATTTTCTGAAGCAAAAGCCAGAAGAAATGTACTACTAGTCTACTACCACTCCAACTTAATAGTAGCCTGTACATGCTGCAATACTACCACGAATTATAGAATTATTTCAGAGCGAATTCTTCTCAAAATCTGCATCTCGATTGTTCGACAGTGTTGGGTGAAACGGCACATCGATGGGGCTATCCTCGTCTAGGGTCTCCATCAGGTGTCCATGAAGCGGCGTTGGCAAGTTGGCGACGTTCCTGAGCATTATGTGTGGCCGCCGGAATGCGGTGTCAGTCACCGGAGCATTGCAAGTCAACATGGTCGAGGAGAAAAAAAAAAGAGCCCCAAGTTGGGCACTTCACTGCCACATCGTACATCGTGCTGAATCAGCTGTAGCTAGAACTTCCCTGTCAATGCCGGGAGAAATCAAACGGGAGTACACCTTGTATGATTTCGTGGCTGGCTGAGGGGTATATGTTCATACGGTGCTGGCACCTTAGCAGGCTTGAACTATGGGATGGATGGATGCTGCTATCAAACGGGATCAAAAGTCACGAGCTGAGTCATAAATCGGCAGATCTAATTGCATTTCGTTGCTTAATCCTTTCCCTAAAACAAAAACTCTTGTGTTTTCTACTGATTCACTGGTACAGAGAAACTCATATTGAGAGATCCTAAGCAGAACAGAAGGGGGGAAAAAAAGTCCGTTTCATCATTCATGTACAAATAGTAAGGCCCATGTTTTCTTGAACGGGCCCAAAATCTGGCCCAAAAAAGTGACGACTTCGACGTACACTGTCCTACCTTCCACTTCGAAAAGGACACCCAGCACGTCGTACAGCTTCATAATCTTGGTTTTTTTTTTCTGATACATTATTTCAGCTCATCTTCTGATCTGCATCACTGCATATGTCGTAATCTTCTCAACTGAAAGGAGCAAAAAAGCTTAAAAACGATCATCCAATTTGCCCGCAAAGTTTCCTACATATCAAAAGGCAAGAAGGCACAGTAGCTTTCAGCTTCAGTGCTTCAGTGCCCTGTAGCCTGGTGATGTGCACCCTGAACTGAAAGGGATTAATTCATCCGTGACGACGAATTACGCTGGGCTTACAGCAGCAGGGGGGGGTGTCATTACGACCCAACAAACTCGATCGAGCAATGGCACAGTGAATCTCACCAAATTCGCTAACAACGAAAGCCATCTTTAGAGACTTGGTTTAATTAATTCGAGCTCCCTACCTAATCTCCTACTGAAAACTACAGCTAGTGTAGTGCCGCTATCTTGCAGTACTGCCCAGTTGAAAATCTAAGCAGCAACAAGCAAGTAGCAGTCCAGTTTGTCAAAACTCTAAAAAAGGAATCGCCATTTACCAATCATCAGGTACGGTGCTAGTAGTACTGGGGTTAATTAATTTCTGCGTTATCTCAACATCGTCGTCGATCATGACGAGGTTGAATTAATATCGATCAGGTGGTTGTCAATCAATAATTCGGCACCCTTATGTAACTCTAATCATATGTAGAGTAGTAGTAGCACATCCTGTTTGCATCTTTCGTACTGCAACAGAGTCGTCACTTTCGTCATTTTTTACCTGTAAATCTTGTAGCAGCAGCAGTTAAAATTTGTCATTTGTGGTTACCTTTCTGAATTAGGCGCGTCTCTGAACCCTGAAGTTTTGTTTCATTTGGAAGCAGCTGGTACTGTCGGCACAAACCAACCAGCTAGGCGTTGCGAGTGATCAAAGATACTGTCTTTTGTTATCCTCTGAAACTGAAAGGAATGTGAGCTGATTTGATCTGACGAGATGTGTTTTCACCTGTCACTTGGACAAGATCGTAGGGCTAAAAATATCCGATTAATCACCAGCTAGCTGTGCAAACCAAACCATCACACAACGCGTTCAAAGTTCACACCGATCACCACCATCAGTCGTCGGCTACAACCTTGAACAAGAAAAATGCTCGATCGAAGCTCGTTTCACTAACGTAGGTAGACGACACCAACCTGAAGAAAAAAGACGTGTAGAGCTAAAAAGGCTAAAGGCAGGGAGAGGAAAATCGATGTTCGTCGCAGTCGACGATCGAGCTAGCTAGCGAGGAGAGGAGCAGCAGCGATGGCGAGATGTCTACACAAGTCGCAAAGTTTTCCGGGATCGTTTGACGTATCGGGGCGACGGCGTACGAACGCCGATGGAGACACGGCCGTGCCACGGCGAGCCAGCGGCGACCGGGAATCTTTCCGACAGAAGGTCAGCGTCCGCCGCGAATCGCCCGGCGATCTTTCACACACTCCGTCCGGCGGATCGTCGCCTCGATTCTAGGTCGAATTAACAATTCGTCTTTGATTCCTTCTGAATTTTGAATGATGATGAGTCGCAAGTAGTAGTACTGAAATACGTACTGTGATGCGTCAGTTCCATCCTCAGACTCTGAAGCCAATGGGGGTGCGAGAGCCAGTGTGTCTCGGCACTGTTCTGATCGATGGTTACGTGATATAGGTAATCTAACCACCCTGGCTGGCATATTTGGAGCCGTCGGTTAAGAATAGCTAGTGGATGACAGAAATTTGATTATATTAAAATCCTCTAAGAAATTATTGGTTCATTTTTATTTCATATATGAACACGGGGTTCTCAAACTTGCTCCATTATTATGTTATTACTTGCAGTATGTTTGGTTCGGGAGAAGGGGCGGGCCCAGCTCAAGTCAAAGACATTTAGATAAATACCCAAATTTCTTGATTAAAAAATTTAGTTATATATAGTACGTGATGCGTATGTGTATGAAAAAGAAAAAAAAGTTTGTATTCAATCCAAGAGGTAGGGCTTGTTCACTTTACTACCATTTTCAACCTTAATTTTCTTTTACAAAGTTACTAAAAAAGTGGCTATATTTAGTTGTTGTCAAATTTTAGTAAGTACTCTCCCCGTTTCACAATGTAAGTCATTCTACCATTTCTTACATTCATATTGTTGCTAATGAATCTAGACATATATATCTATATAGATTCATTAACATCAATATGAATGTGGGAAATGCTAGAATGACTTACATTGTGAAACGGAAGAAGTAGATATGAAAAACTTACCAAAATTTGACAATACCAAAACCTGGTAAGGTTGAAAATGATAGCAAAGTGAACAAGCTCGTAGTATACAACACATATTATATATCTACGCTATATAGTGTACCGTTAGTACTATGTAATATTATACATGCGAAATATTAGAATTTTGGTGGTAATTTTTTTTATCCCTTCATATTTTGAATACACAACTTCGGATTGTTACTAGGAGATAGAGGACGTTGTCTCTTCCACCTTCACTCCCATGCTTGAATTGATCCACGGCTTCCACCACCTACACCATGGCTTTGCCTTCTCATGACAATTTTCGATTGTACTTTCAAAATACTGGCAATCCATTATAGTTATATTTATTAGTACAATATTACCTTTTCAAGTTAGTACAATATTCCCTTAAAAAATTAGATATATTAATTCTTAAAAATGAATAAAAGTACTGCAAAATATATAATCAAATTGATAGGATAATGGCTTGATGGACATTTTATCTGATCGTTACTCTCTCCGTCCCACAATATAATGGATTTTGAGTTTTTTGCTTACAACGTTTGACCACTCGTCTTATTTAAATTTATTTTGCAAATATAAAAAACAAAAAGTTGTGCTTAAAGTACTGTAGATAATAAAGTAAGTCACAAATAAAATAAATAATAATTTCAAATTTTTTTGAATAAGATGAGTGATCAAACGTTACAAACAAAAACTCAAAATCTCTTATATTATGGGATGGAGGGAGTAAGTCTTATCTATATCACACTCTCTATGTTCAGCCTGAAATGTTAATTTAGTTGCTTAGTACTGATTGTTTTTCGTGGAGTTGATTAATTATTGTCTTATCTTTAAGCATTTAAATAGTAATCTAGACATCTAGCTTGTGCATAAAAATTCTCCAAAAAATAGTACATATTTATATTTCTTACTAAGTACATTTGGGTTAAACATGTCCCATCAAGGCATATGAACGATAAAAATTTTGATTACACCTCCAAATCTCTTTATGAATATTCAAAGCAGCCTAGATAGCTTCAGGTTGTACGTTGTTGTAGCATGCAAATCGAATATCAAGAGTTCATAGTAAGGAATGACGTTCGCCCTATCTGTATATATATATCTCGAAAGGGCTCATATGTTAGTACTCCCTCCGTCTCTCCTCCTAGGTTGAGTATTTTTTGGACGTCTCTCCTCCTAGGTTGAGTATTTTTTGGACGGAGGGAGTAGTACTTAGGGCAGGTGGGCTCATATGTCGTAGCACTTACGGCAGGTGTCATACAGGTGTCATACAACAGAGGAAATCGATCGCTTCATCTACCAAACCCCTAGTACATCTTTTTTTCATCTGCACCCATGTCCAATTTGATCCAAACCACCCCTGCTCACCCCTACTTCTCCTCCCGATCATTTAACCCTATCTAATGTCATTCTATTGCAATCGTATTTATTTGTATGAAATCACTTATTTATTCTAGCGTACTGATTTCTTGAGATGGAATAACTAGTACTTGCAATATTTAGAATAAACTTAATAGGATATATAATAGTAGCTTGAAGGTTATTTTATCTGACGGTTAACCTTTTTCATATAGTATCTTAATAGTTGCTAGGACGGCATGGAGACCTCGTACTCTCTCTCCCGCTCTAGTTGTCTGGTACAGGGTTTGAAATTTCGAAAGAAGGATTTCTGTCGCAGGTGGGCGATAGAACCGAAATTTCGGATTTTTTCCGTACGATTTTTTTTTGAAATTTTGACTGATTTTGAATGGATCTGAGTAAAAATTGACCAAATTCATAAAAATTTGCAAAAAACCGAAAGTTTCGGGCGAGATATCAACATTTCGGTGGGGGCGAAATTTCGGAACCCTGGTC